AGACCCCATTTTCAAATACCATCATGTTAGGGATTAGGGCTTCAACATGTCAATTTTGTGGGAACACAGTTGAGTCCATAGCAGTGTCTCTCAAAGAGAGAAAGGTTTTAATTTTGGTGAAACTCAGATTTTTCTTTTTTTTTTTGGACGGAGTCTGGCTGTGTCACCCAGGCTGCAGTGCAGTGGCTCGATCTTGGCTCACTGCAAGCTCTGCCTCCTGGGTTCAGGCCATTCTCATGACTCAGCCTCCCAAGTAGCTGGGAATACAGGCGCCCGGCATCACGCCCAGCTAATTTTTTCTATTTTTAGTAGAGACGGGGTTTCACCATGTTAGCCAGGATGGTCTCGATCTCTGGGCCTTGTGATCCGCCCGCCTTGGCCTCCCAAAGTGCTAGGATTACAGGTGTGAGCCACCATGCCTGGCCTAGATTATCATTTTTTAAGGGTCATTCTTTTGGTGTCATAGCTATGAAATCTATACCTAATTAGAGATCACAAATATTTTTACCTATATTTTCTTGTAGAAATTGTATACTTTAGATGTTTTTATTTAGGTCTACAATCCACTTTGAGCTAATTTTTATATATGGTGCCAATTATAAATTGAGGCTTTTTGTTTACATTTATATGTCAAATTGTTCCAGCACCATTTGTTAAAAAGACTATCTTTATTGAATTGTATTTGCACATTTTCAAAAATTATATATATATATATGGATCTATTTCTAGTCCCTCTATTTTGTCTCATTGATCTATGTGTCTCTGTTTTTACCAATACCATACTCTCTTGATTACTGTGGCTTGATCCTAAGTCTTGAAATCAAGTGGTGTGAACCCTCTAAATGTTTCCTTTTTAAAAACTGTTTTTATTATTCTAGTTATTTGTGTTTTCATACCAATTTTAGAATCAACCTATCAATTTCTACTGGAAAGGGAAGCCTTCTGTTATTCTGATTGGGACTGCATTGAATCTATGTAAGTTAATTTGTAGAGAATCGACATTTTAACAATACTGGGTCTTCTGATCCATGTTTATCATATTTTTCTTCTTTTACTTAAGTATTTCATTTTCTTCAGTAATGTTCTGTCAATGAAAAGAGTCAAACTCTGGCAAACTATGCATCTGACAAAGGACTAGTATCCAGAATCTACAAGGAATGCAAACAAATCAGCAAGAAAAAAATAATCCCATCAAAAAGTGGGCAAAGGGCATGAATAAACATTTCTCAAAAGAAAATATACGAACAGCCAACACACACGAAAAAATGTTCAACATCACTAATCATCAGAGAAATGCAAATTAAAACCGCAATGAGATACTACCTTACTCCTGTAAGACTGGCCATTATAAAAAAGTAAAAAAACAATAGATGTTGGCCTGGATGTGAGGAAAAGGGAACACTTTTACACTGCTACTGGAAATGTAAACTAGTACAACCACTATGGAAAACAGTATAGAGATTCCTTAAGGAACTAAAAGTAGAACTACCATTCAATCCAGCAATCCCACTAATAAATATCTACCCAAAGGAAAGTAAGTCATTACATAAAAAACATATACGCACATATAGCAGCACAATAAGACACGGAACCAACCTGATGATAGTGCCCATCAGCCAACAAGTGGATAAAGAAAATGTGGTATATGTACACCATAAAATACTATTCAGCTATAAAAAGGAACAAGATAATGTTTTCTGTAGCAACTTGTATGGAGCTGGAGGCTATTATTCTAACTGAAGTAACTCAGGAATGGAAAAGCAAACATTGTATGTTCTCACCTACAAGTGGGAGCTAAGCTATGAGGATGCAAAGGCATAAGAGTGACACAATGGGCTTTGGGGACTCAGAGGGGAAAGTTGGGAGAGGGGTGAGGAATAAAAGACTACATACAGTGTACGCTACTCAGGTGATGGGTGCGCTAAAATCTCAGAAATCACAGCTAAAGAATGAATCCATGTAACCAAAAACCACCTATACCCCAAAAACTTGAAATAAAAAAAGAAGTCAAACTCTGTAAAATAGTTGAAGGGATTTATTCTGAGCCAAATATGAGTGACCATGGCCTGTGACACAGCCTTTGGGAGACCCTGAGAACATATGCTCAAGGTGGTTGGGGAGCAGCTTGGTTTCATACATTTTAGGGAGACATGAGACTTCAAATACACTTAAGATACAGATTGAATCACTGCTTTGGTCCAGAAAGGCAAGACAACTTGAAGTGGGGCAGGGGTTCCAGGTTACAGGTAGATTTAAATTTTTCTGATTGGCAATTGGTTGAAAGAGTTATTATCAATAGAAAGGAATGTCTGGGTTAAGATAAGACATTGTGGAGACCAAAATTTTATCATGAAGCTGAAGCCTCCAGGTAGCAGGCTTCGAAAAGACTAGATTATAAATGTTTCTTATCAGACTTAAGGTCTGTGTTAATGTTAAATGCTGGTTGGCTTTTCCTGAATTCCAAAAGAAAGGGGGGCATAATGAGACATATCCGACCCCTGCTTCCATCATGGCTTGAACCAGTTTTTCAGGTTAACTTTGGAGTTCTCTGGCCAAGAGGACGGAGTCCATTCAGATGGTTGGGGGTGAAGGTGTTTAGAATCTTATTTTTGGTTCACAGTTTTTTGTTTTTGGAACGAAGTTTCACTCTTGTTACCCAGGCTGGAATGCAATGGCATGATCTCAGTTCACTGCAACCTCTGCGTCCTGGGTTCAAGCAATTCTCCTGCCTCAGCCTCCTGAGTAGCTGGGATTACAGGTGCCCGCCACCACGCCCAGCTAATTTTTGTATATTTAGTAGAGACGGGGTTTCACCATGTTGACCAGGCTGGTCTTGAACTTCTGACCTCAGGGGATCCACCTGAGGTCTCCAAAAGTGCTGGGATTACAGGTG